TTGACAGTGCTACACCTCATAATAATATTATAAATTATTATTGACAGTGCTACACCTCATAATAATATTATAAATTATTATTGACAGTGCTACACCTCATAATAATATTATAAATCATTGACAGTGCTAATCTGGTGTTTCTGGAGTAGGTTGGGGCCTTGTAAGGCCTCCACCAGCAGAGAATGGGAAAGAAAAGGCTCAGCTTGGATAGTTCCACCTCGCAGCAACACTTCGCCGGGGATCAAACAGACTTTAATCTTTTTAGCAGCAGAGGAACCCAGCTGGACTTGTGCAGACGGAAACTAGATCTTTCTGGAACCAGCTAGCTTGCTATCTTTAGCATCGATCAGGCAAAGATATTGCGTCGATTTAACCAAAACTTAAATCATTACGTTGCGCTCGGTTTCAATGAAGAAGGTAATATATCGTGTATACAAAACATGGAGAGGACAAACGTTCAATATTTCCCTGAAGACGTGTTTTTTTAAGCAGGTGTGCTCTGACCGCGGCTAACCCTTGTTGTGCTAACTGGAACGCAGAAACGCTTACAGGGTTTTGGGCTGCTCGTCGTCCATTCTGCCTCACGCGCCGGCCGAAAACAAGTCGCGACCTGGTGAGCAAATCCACGAGCGTCGTGGGCAGCTGTCCGTGACACGATCGACTCAATTAATAGGAAACGTGAACTGCTTAGACACCGCTATTAGCTTCAGAGCAAACAATGGGCTGCCGACAAAGATGGCGGAGCGACCCCAGTCGAGTCGAAACTCGCATGCGCAGAAGTTCAAAGGCCGCCGCTTACAAACGCATGCAGAACACGGGGAGGTTCATGCCCAGAGACTGATCATCAAACAGTTTTAATGAGTTTCAAACAGTTTAAAAACAACAATAGAAACTGTCCAGGGATGTGACGTAACTTTGTTGGATTTATTTTAACCTGGATTATTGAACATGAACTTTGAACTTTTTAATGTGTTTCTGTTTAATTCACTTAATTGTTTTTAAGTTGCTGAGTGCTAATAATAAAAAAAAAAAAAAATAAAAAAAAAAAAGAGTTGTGCTGAACGTCACTGAAAACTGCAGTTTGAAAGAGTTTACTCAAGCAGTTTCACAGATATCTTTACCGGTATATGAAATTCTGAAATGTGGGTATGCGCTCAAAGTAAACAATCCATTGACGACCTACATCCAGAGCAGGGTGTTCGTTCGTACGTAAACAAACTTGGCTTCCCCCTCACTAAGGTTTCCCACTTCCAGGTTCACTTTCTACGACCTCTACTCTTCTCTTCATTCATTAGCTCCTCAAAGTACTCCTTCCATCTCCCCGCCACATTATTCCTTTTACATTATACATTATTTACATTGTTTCTCCTACGTTATTTTATAACTCCTACACATTTAAGTTTTATAGTTGTAATTTTTGCTAAACAAAACTATGAATCAAATAACCCATTTCAAACATAAGAAGCTACTTTGTAATTTAGTATGACATTTTGAAATAATTAATTTTTATTACTAACAGATATGAGAAACTGAGAATTGAAGAAAAATACAAAAATATAAATTATCTTCAACACACACTTAAGCAGAAGAATCTTTGAAAGGATTTTTGTAATCCTGTAAAGTTCAGATATTTGAACGTTTGTATGCTGATGGCAGTCCGTCAGTCTCTTCCTCATCTTGGGCAGATGTTGTGGTCCGTTATGAGTTTCTCCATCCTCTTGATCTTGCGCTTGTTCTTGGGCATGGGTTTGTCGTACATGCCGGTCCTCAAGAGATGCTCTTTGCTGTGATGAACTTGAGCTCCGTGCTGCAGCTGGAAGGAGCACAACGCTTTCAGAGGTCTCAACAAAACCTAGAAATCACAGAAAAAGGACAAATATTCAGATTTTCCAGTGAACTCCTTTCTAAATGGTAAGTAATTACACTTGCCTGATAGAAAAAAAACTATACAACATTTATTTTGTTAATAAATAGTAAAGCTGTGTTTGGTCTAAAGCTCTAACAGGGTAAAATAACTTGCTATAATATACAGATCTCTAAGCTGGAAAGCATATTTGGATGAATTCTAATGTCAAGTGGTTTGATAAGTTTAGTAAGGAAGGCACTTCGGACATGGTTGTGTTTTTTCCTGTTATTTCTGTAGCTATATGGGGTGTAAATATACTGTTAATTATCAGTTATGAGTTAAGCTCATAAGATATGTATGTAATACGCAAATAACCTCGTTTTTAGGGCACCACCTCTTGGACAGGAAAATCAGTCTCTATTTATTCATGGGCGGCTGTGGCTCAGTGGTTAGAACAGTCGTCCTCCAATGCGAGAGTTGGGGGTTCGAATCAACCAGCAGTCACATGTCGAAGTGTCCCTGGGCAAGACACTAAACCCCTCATAGCCTCTGATGTGTGTCCCATCAGTGTATGAATGTGATCTAAAGCACTGATTAGTCTCTTTATAATGATTTGTTCAAATAGCTTTGTAGAGATCTAGTAGAGTGCTGTATGAATGGGTCAATGAGGGCACAGATTGTTGTAAAGTGCTTTGAGTATCTTGAAATAAGATAGAAAGGTGCTATATAAGTACAGTCCATTTCCAAACCAGATTCCAAAAAAGTTGGGACACTAAACAAATTGTGAATAAAAACTGAATGCAATGATGTGGAGATGGCAAATGTCACGATTTTATTCGTAATATAACAGATGACAGATCAAAAGTTTAATCTGAGTAAATGTAACATTTTAAAGGAAAAATATGTTGATTCAAAATTTCAGTGTCAACAAATCCCAAAAAAGTTGGGACAAGTAGCAATAAGTGGCTGGAAAAAGGAAATTGAGCATATAATGAACAGCTGGAAGACCAATTAACACTAATTAGGTCAACTGACAACATGATTGGGTATAAAAAGAGCTTCTCAGAGTGTCAGTGTCTCTCAGAAGCCAAGATGGTAAGAGGATCACCAATTCCACCATTGTTGCGCAGAAAGATAGTGCAGCAATTCCAGAATGGTGTTACCCAGCGTAAAATTGCAAAGACGTTTAAGTTATCATCATCAACCGTGCATAACATCATCAAAAGATTCAGAGAATCTGGAACAATCGCTGTGCGTAAGGGTCAAGGCCGTAAAACTCTACTGGATGCTCGTGATCTCCGGACCCTTAAACGTCACTGCACCTCAAACAGGAATGCCACTGTCAAGGAAATAACAGAATGGGCTCAGGAATACTTCCATAAAGCATCGTCAGTGAACACAATCCACCGTGCCATCAGCCGTTGCCAGCTGAAACTCTACAGTGCAAAGAGGAAGCCATTTGTAAGCAAGCTCCACAAGCTCAGACGTTTGCACTGGGCCAGGGGTCATTTAAAATGGAGTGTGGCAAAATGGAAGACTGTTCTGTGGTCAGATGAGTCACGATTTGAAGTTCTTTATGGAACACTGGGACGCCATGTCATCCGGACCAGAGAGGACAAGGATAGCCCAAGTTGTTATCAACGCTCCGTTCAGAAGCCTGCATCACTGATGGTATGGGGTTGCATGAGCGCTTGTGGCATGGGCAGCTTGCATGTCTGGAAAGGCACCATTAATGCAGAGAACTATGTTCAGGTTCTAGAACAACATGTGCTCCCATCTAGATGTCATCTCTTTCAGGGAAGACCCTGCATTTTTCAACACGATAATGCCAGACCACATTCTGCAGCAATCACAACATCATGGCTACGTAGGAGAAGGATCCGGGTACTGAAATGGCCAGCCTGCAGTCCAGATCTTTCACCTATAGAGAACATTTGGTGCATCATAAAGAGGAAGGTGCCACAAAGAAGGCCCAAGACGATTGAACAGTTAGAGGCCTGTATTAGACATGAATGGGAGAGCATTCATATTTCTAAACTGGAGAAACTGGTCTCCTCTGTCCCCAGACGTCTGTTGAGTGTTGTAAGAAGAAGGGGGGATGCCACACAATGGTAAAAATGGACTTGTCCCAACTTTTTTGGGATTTGTTGACGCCATGAAATTTGGAAACAACAGCTTTTTCCCTTAAAATGATACATTCTCTCAGTTTAAACTTTTGATCTGTGATTTGTGTTCTATTCTGAATAAAATATTAGATGTTGGCACCTCCACATCATTGCATTCAGTTTTTATTCACAATTTGTTCAGTGTCCCAACTTTTTTGGAATCCGGTTTGTACCATTTACCATATTTACCCCAAAATAATTTAAACCAAACGCGAGTTCTTTTCTCGTGTTTAAAGGCATCAAATCAGTTAATACACACAGACATGCCAAAATAATCACAAATTCAGTTGATTTTATGTATTTTATTATAAAAATAATAATCTGTGATATATACAATGAAGATTATGCATGACAAAAGGGTTAACTGAACATGGAATGGCTTTGAATCAAAGGTCTAATTGAGTAAAATCAGTGAAACTTAAAAGGCAGACTTAGGACTGATTTCTGTTTGTGAAATGGTTCAAATTGTACCTAAGGTGAGCTAAGTTTGTCTGATAAGTTTATTGTGATGTAGGGTCACCAGCAAACAGATGAAACCATGAGAGTTCTCCAGTTTGAACAGCCTCCGGAGATACCAGGCAGGTGGGTTTAGATGGTAGCTCGTAAGTTGAGAAATCTCCAGAGTTACCTTGGCTATGAAGACTGTAGTCCTCCTCTGGACCTGGTTTGATGGACAACTGTTCTGGATTGGTTACTCACAGTTCACTCTGGGAAGGTGCTGGTTCTGTATCTTTTCTTCCCTTCTCTCGTCTTGAGACGTCTGCAGAAAAGATGCTTCTCGTTTGCTCTGAGGTCAAGTGCACAAGCTGGGTTTCTTCTCTCTCCAGTTCCGAGCTCCAGTGTGTCTCTCTGGAGGTTTTTTTAATTTTTTTTTAGTGAAACTTGACTCTGTGTTAGAACAGAGATGAAGGTCCACCTCTCAGGAAGAGGTGGTTCTAATCTTGGCTTGTTTTATAAATCTAAAGTCCATTTTCTCTGCCTTAAAAGTTTCCTTTTAAAAGAGAAAATAAGACAAATTATTATCTTAAAGAAAGATTACTTAAAACACACGTTTTCATGAATAAACAATCAGCATATGACAATTTAGAATTAAACTTAAAACATGCAATGTTTTAACAGAGGTGTCACTGTTGACTGTCCACCTCCTGGAAGAGGAATGTCCATTTGAACAAACAAAGGCTCTTTCTTTGTTGTACAATCTTCCATGGGAGAACGTCTGAGAAAAGTACTCCTTTTTGATAAGGGGATGTATCAACGTAGCAAGATCGGATGTTTCAAACTCCGAGGTCAGTTGAACAAAAGTTCTCATTAAACAATCTGTCGTTTCATGGGAAATGAGTTCATACTGGGTTAGTGAGGTTCACAATAAGTTTTTTTTTTTTAATATATTAGTGTCAACTTAAGAAGTTTGTGAGCAAAGCTGAATACTTGTAAAACAATGTCTGTCTGTTAGATGAATCTTATTTTAACAGTTTCAAACACAAAACACAGGAATGATGTTTGTTTGTTTGAGCTGAGGTGAACCGTCTTCTGAGGCCAGGTGTTCCCCTACATTTCAAACTTTTTACTGTTAAAGACGGGAGCCGCTGCGGGGCACCGGATCCGGAAACCCCCCCAGCTCACGTCTTTACCCCCGGCTGGAACCCTCCTCAGAAGTGGCAACTATACTAATCAATAAATCAAGGAAACGTCAATTAAGTTTTATCAATTATATTAGAAAAAGGCAGTAAAAGATTACAATTTACAGCGCTGGACTCTATTCAGTCTGTGACGCATTCACAGACCTGGAAGAAGAGAGCCCGAGGTCTCGTGTCATCATTAATTTATACGGCCCTAGACTCCGCCCTTCACAGAAGGGGGAGCTCAACCTGTCAGTGTATGAGGGGGCGGGACTAAGTGTGGTCTTATGTGTACTGACGTGTAAGGAAAACATGAGACGGTGCTTTAAAGCCTTTCCTAGTGATGTAGCAAGCTGATTAAACTATTTTTTGACAGATATTGAATTATCAGGGAGACTCTCTTAAGAGTTTGCTGACCCAGTTTAACCCAGTCAGAACCGGGTCACAATTTCATTATAATCCCGTCTCTGAGCAGATCAAACTCATAAAACCAGTCTAGATTGAAAATATCTTAACAACACTGAACACCCCTTATGTCTCTTAGCTCTGACAGGATGTCGATCTGGCGAGGTTTAATCAAAAATATGTCAGTCAGTGCTTATTAAATTCATAATTCAACCAATTACATGTGGGGATCTGTTGAAGTTAATATCTTACCTGCTACATACAGCCTACCTTCTCAATAACAGGCGACAGACGGCGATTTCACCGTCTACTCAAGTGTCTGGTGCCAACTACTCTGACTATGATTTTTGTTTTTTATAAGTAGAAGTGCTCTGTGTTGTCATCATGGTATGTTCCCATGGGCAGCTGTGGCTAAGTGGTTATAGAAGTTGTTCTCCAATGCAAGAGTTGGAGGTTCGAATCCACCAGCAGCCACATGCTGAAGTGTCCCTGGGCAAGACAATGAACCTCTCATCTTTTTTGAAAATCATTGTAACAGCTGAAGAGTGTTAGAGCGAGAGGCTGCAGCAAAGACGGGCATACTCAGAGACTAAACACCCCATCACCCTCCACTTTCACCTCCCACCCCCTCCAAACAGATAAACAACCTCCCCCCTCCTTTCTGACGGAGGATCAAAATTATTTGTCACACGCCATAAAATCTACAGGAAGAAGAAAAAAGATGCAGAAGTTGACTGGAGTCCAGCGCGATGAAGTCACAGCGAGAGCGGGAGGGAGTCATGAGGTCTGAGAGATTTGTGATATTTAGTCAAGTCAA